CCCTAAACCCTACACCCTAAACGAGGCATCCCGAAACCCGACCACAAACCCCAGCGCCCCGTCGAGGTGTCTCGCCTGAGGACCGGGAGAGTCTGTGGAAGGCTGCCTGCTACACTTTGCTTCATATTCCCAAAGGGTCCAAGTAGTAACATGGTAGCTACTTTGTAGGTATCTGGGCCCCAAAAGTATATACCATATTATAACATGGACCCTTTGGGATTGCTGATGATACAACTCCTGCATGACCTTATATACCTAAACTATGGGATTTATGGTACTGTACTATACTTGGGTCATGCAAAATTTTGTCCATCAACAGTATTGCTGATGATACAAATCCTGCATTAGCTTAAGGACCCTTGAACTATGAGAATTATGGTATATTCCTCATTCTGGGCAATGCAGGGTGTATATCCTCAACCGTAGGTGCTAGGGTTCAAGGGTTTAGGGTTTAGGGTTTGGAATGTAGCTTTCGGATTGAGTTGCCCGAGGCTTGCATGGGCACCTAAACCCTAAACCCTAAACCCTACACCCTAAACCCTAAACCCTACACCCTAAACCCTAAACGCTAAACCCTAAACCGCTTCCTTGCTGGCTTTTAGCTTCCTAAGTCTGGACGAGACCCTGCAGATCCTGCATAGAAACAACAGCATGTCCTTAAGAACCCCAAAACCTACTTTTTTGTAGGGTCCCTCTAAATCCCGTATTAGGGTTTATAATAGGAACCTGCAAAAAAGTGGGTGTTGGGTTCTTAAGGGTTGTCTAAGCCCTTACAAAGTTGCCCCATGTAGATTGGGTTTAGGGTTTAGGGTTTAGGGTTTAATTCCCCCTGAGGGTCCATGTGCCCAAATAGTAGTACATATTTAGCCCCCAAATAAGGACTGCTTTATGGCCGAAGTATTTACGACTTGGGTATATGAACCCTTACGGAACCCTAAACCCTAGGCCCTATACACCCTAAAACATAGAAACCCTATAGACCCTAAACCCTATAGACCGTAATCCCTTATGTCTTCTCAGCAGCTCTCGCATGGGCTCTATAGTGGTTCCTTTGGTGGTTCATATCTTTACGGGACAATAGGAGGGACCCCTGGAAGGAACCCCTAATTCAAATAGCCTATATAGCCCTTATATACCCCTTATATAGTCTCATAAAGCCCCTATAGAACCCCAAGGGTCCCTAGAAGGGTCCCTCCTTTCTTTCCTTCATATTTTGGATCCTATAAGGTAATCCCGGAATGGAACTACCCTAAACCCTAAACCCTAAACTACTACGATCGTGGTTCATTTTGGGGGTTCATATTTAGGATCTTATAAGGTACCCTAAACCCTAAACCCCTAAACCCCTAAACCCTAAACCCCTAATTCCTAAACCCCAAAACCCTACCTACGGAGCCTTTGGGCAGGCGATGATGACGTACATGCAGCCTTGTGCTCACGTGGACCAGCTCAGATCTGAGTTCTGGCGGTGCTTTTAGCTTTTAGGGCTTAGTTTTTACGGGGTTAAGGGTTTGGGGCTTAGGGTTTAGGGGATAGGGTTTAGGGTGTAGGGCTTTGTGTTTAGGGATCAGGGTTTTGGGCTTAGGTTTTTAGGTTTTAGGATTCTGGGTTTAGTATTTGGGGTTTAGGATTTTGGGCTTAGGGCTGTGTTTAAAGTTTAGGGTCTTGGGTGTTGGGTTTAGGGTTTATGGATTCTGTTAGAAATGAGGGTGTACGGCTTTACTTGGAGTTTTTGGGTTTGGGGGTCTTGGGTTTTGCTTTTGGAATTTTGAAGCTTATAGGAGTTCGGATTTAGGATAGGGTGGAGGTGCAGTGGGCTTGGGGAAGAGCTACGTAAAGTTCCTTGCGAATGAGTAAGTAGGTGGTACGTATCCAGCGGGGCCAGTACATTACATCTCTCTCGTGAAACGGCTGCTGAGGAGCGGAGAATAACATAGACATAGAACTTAACCTATCATACTTCGCTGCATGGGAATAATTAACATAGACATATAACCTATAGTACTACGCCCCATGACCGTCATTGAGCTAGCTTTATACCTTAAGAACCCAAAACCCACTTTTTTGTAGGTTCTAATTATAAACCCTAATATGGGATTTATAGGGACCCTACAAAAAAGTAGGTTTTGGGTTCTCAAGGTAGAGCAGACGTCACTGAAACAAACCTGTTTCAGAAGCTCTGGGTTCGCTTTGGAGTGCAAAGAAGACATGTATGATGGCTTCATCATGGTACTATTATTTGCTTAAGAACCACCCAAAAAATAAGATATTCTTCCTTGTAAGGGTAATATAAGGATTCTTATCTTTATTTGTTAAAGGCTCCTAAGCAAATAGTAGTGTAAGCTAAGAACGACCCATCCTAAACCCTAAACTCTAAACCCTGAGACCTGGATGCTATAAAGCCCCCCAGAACCCTAAGCCTAAATTCTAAGAGCTTCAAGCCCAAGCCCAAAAGCTAATCAGTAAAATCCAGAGTTCCCTTATAGGACCCTTATGGAACCCTTTTAACGGAACCCCCGAAACCCTATTCTACTTATAGGTCTATACCCTAAACCCTAGTCCCTAAACCCTAAACCCTAAACCCTAAACCCTAAACCCTAAACCCTAGTCTATCCTTTTTGAGGCGTATCGCTCTCACCACCGAGGAGTTGCTGAAGGCCGTGGCAAAGGTGGGCTTCAGGGCGTAGTAGCGGCTTGGGGTGTGGGGCTTCGGGATTGAGGTATAGAGGCTTACGGGTTTAGGTGGCTTGAAGCTCTTGCAGGGGTATAGGCTTGTTTCCATTGATTCGTGTTTGAACTTTCAACCGGTACTCTTTTAGAGCTGAGGGGTGATAAGATGAGCAGTACGCGGAAGAAAAGAGCCTCCAATTCTGACGCGTCGGCCTGCATCGGCCTAAGCCTACAGTTCCAAATCCTGAGCCCTTGCCCCAGTTGCACCCTGCATGCTAGCCCCCTGAGGCCAGGTCCACCTAAAACCGTATTGGGGCCTTTGGTAAGCTACCCAGCCCCTCGGGTTTAGGGTTCAGGACTTAGGATTTAGGGTTTAGGGTTTAGGGCCTTTTAGGGTTTAGGGTTTAGGGTTTAGGATTTAGGGTTTAGGATTTAGGGTTTAGGATTTAGGGTTTAGGGTTAACCACAAAAAGAAGCCGTGCCGTCCTGGTGAGCGAGGCCCGATCTCCCGACGAGCTGCTGCGGAGCTTGGCCCCTTCCAAGCAACAGGAGCCCGGCTCTCAGCCCGTTTTAGGGTATATAGGGTTTAGGGTTAAGGGGTTTAGGGTGTAGGGGTTTAGGGTTAGAGTTTAGGGGTTGAGGGGTTAAGGGTTAGGGTTTATAGGGTTTAGGGAGGTTTTGTTGTTGTATAGTGGGGTGGGGGCTGTAGGGCTTGAAGATGGGTATTGGAGAGGTCTGACTAGTTGATAATGATGTCTCCTGATTGTCGCCCCTATGTACATATAATTCAGAAATGACTAGAATTCTGGAAAGCACCCCAAAACCATGTTTCAAGATAGCTTGTTGTGTATAAGGCCTTGGTGTTGAAGGGACATACGGCTATAGAGTCTTTGAAGAGCCTAAAGGCGGAAAGGTCGAAGATTTTTAGTTTGAAGTTGTAGAATATGACAGTTAAACACTACAGTCCTTGGAGTATCATGCGACTTCGTAAGTAAGGTTAAGCTGTAAGTACCCTAATTGGGGCTATAAGTATGTATAAGTATAGTTGCCCGAAGAATACCTTGTACCGGAGCTCCATGACCCTTGAAGTAGACCGAGGTTTTAGATGGCAGGTCGATGGCTTTGGGTCTCGAAGCGTCGTCAAGACTGTCCTTGTAACCTCCTTACTACACCTAAACCCTAACCCCTAAACCCTAACCCCTAAACCCCTAAAGCCCTAAACCCTAAACCCTAACTAAACCCTAAACCCTAACTAAACCCTAACTAAACCCTAAACCCTAGAATCTTAACCCTTAACCCAAAACCTCCCTACTCTGCACCACATGATCCTTGAAGTTCCCTAACCCTAAGCCCCCTAAGCCCGCATCCCCAACGTGCTCGCCAAGTCTCATCGCAGAAATTTAAGGGTCCGAGCACCTAAGAATCAGATATTCTCCCAAATAGTAACCTACTTATATATCCACTATCCGAAACCTATTTGCCTAATTGTTGGGTCCTTGGACCCTGCCTGACAAGGCAGCTCGAAGAAGAGGAGCGTTTGCGGACCCTGCGGGCCGCGGAAGACACGCAGCCCACACAGGCGAGCTCGGGGGTTTGGATGTGTTTAGGGGCAGGTTTGTTAGGGTTTAGGGCTTATGGAGTTTATGGTTTGGGGGTTTAGGGTTTAGGAGTTGAGGATTGCCCAAGTTTCAGATTTTGTTGGTGGACTCAGTTTAAATTCCCGTGTCAAAACATTATCTTGCCTCTGGACCTTTAGACATACTGGACGTTTCGTTGGAAACATCTCTGGAATTTCCGTCTGAGCATCCCGTAAACCCGCTGAACCCCACCGAAGACTCGCCGAAGACCAGTAACTTCTCTGTGCACTAAACCCTAAACCCTTCGTGCAGAGGTTCTCGCCCAAACCCTACGTATACGAGAAAGCTTCCACCCTGAAACCTTGGAGCCCCGCATATCCATTTGGAGGTTTCCGGGGACTCAGTGGGTTTTTGGTGAGTACCTCGTTTGGGGTTTAGGGTTTAGAGTTTAGGGTTTAGGGTTTAGGGCTTAGGGTTTAGGTTTAGGGTGGGGTTCAGCGTTTAGGGTTTAGAGCAAGGGCTTTGCGTTTAATAAAGTTTAGGGTCAAGGTTCAAGGCATCCGTCTTGTAGCCTACTTAGCAAGCCCTGTGATTCTTGCAAGGGCGTTGCACGCACCAAGGGTCCAAAATCCGAATCCCCAAACCCCGCCAGAAAGCCCCTTTCCCAAGAAAACGACAGCTGATTCCCCGAACCTGAAGACTGTCACCCGCAGTGCGAGAAGATTTCAACTTTCATCCCCGATACCGCAACCTCCTTAAATCCGCTGATGATCATCATATGAGAAACTAGCCCTGACAGACCTTCCTGGTTCCTTGTTCCCTCCGAATCCTTTAGAGAGTGGTGTTGGGTCCCGAATAACGGGGATTTAGGGTCTAGTAAGTCTAGTAGTGAAATATAAAGAAACTAAACCCTAAACCCTAAACCCTACACCCCAAATTAGACCTAACAGACTTTACGGCTTTCCATTAGGGCTGCTTGGATCGGGCCCAGGCCCAGCAGCGCGATTCCAAAGTTTCTCGAAGCTCCAAGACGTCGAGGTCGTCCAAGAGCGTCCTGGCCGTTTCTGATCTTTGGCTCTTGAGGGTTTCAGAGCCCTAAGGGTCCATGTACCCAAATAGTATGTACTTTGGCTTTAAATTAGTCCCTACAAAGGTACTTTGGGGCCAATGTATATACTATATGAGCGCATGGACCCATAGGGGAGGTTAGAGGAAATGTTTTTGTTGAGTTGGAACTGGGGGTGTTATGGTTCAGGACTTGGGCTATCAGAGGAGGGAGCCCTGAACCCTATACGCTAAGCTGATGGTTTAGGGGTTTGGGGGTTTAGTATAGGGAGCCCTAGACCTTGAACCGTTTGCTGCTGGGTTGTTTCGGAGCTCATCAGTCTTTTCACAACATGAGGGGACCATTGAAGAAACCCGCCTGGCTTGAAGAAGCGGAGCTTATCCCGAAGCCCCAAACCTTTGTCTCGCAACGCGATGCCCTTCAACCTGAATTGACCCCAAACCCGAAGCCCTAAACCCTAAACCCTAAACTCGAAACCCTAAACCCTACACCCTAAACCCTACACCCTAAAACCTACACCCTAAAACCTACACCCTAAACCCTACACCCTAAACCCTACACCCT